TGTTGCTAGATATACAATTATTATTGTAAGTAGGTATCTATCTGCAGTTTGTTAACTTTTTCTTTTTTATACTATGAGGAACCATATCAGTTTAAAAAATCCAACAAAATATGACAAATCAGGCTAACTTTATGTATTTAAAAATCGGGATGTACTTTATTTATAGATTAATATTGGGATTGGTCAAGTGCAAAAACCATAAAAATGGAAAATATTTTTTAGCAAATGTGTAAACGAACATGTTGTCTTGATGTAAAGTTAAAAGTTTGACTTTGGTATTTATTATTTATAATCTCTTACAACGATAATACATCATTTACTAATTCAAATATTTTTAACTAACAAAACACAGGTCCGTACTTGTAAACTTACCTGATGATGTTCAAATCTTCCGAAATGTTGACTAATCACAATATGTTATTACATCATTGTATTCAACATTAAACATGCATTAAAATTATGAGCCAGGAAAATATTGGTCCATATTCAAATAAAGAAGTTGATGGTGGTCCTGCATTTACGAAACGTCGGATAAAAAAACTAAATACGCTTTCATACGTACAATTTGATATAAAACAAAAAACTCTAAATGAGTTTTTGTCTATTTTTGCAAATAAACGTTCTGTAGCGGAATAAAGAAATGGTACTTATTTGTTTTTTATCGAATATCTCGGAAACCGGACCTGATATTTTAGTTTTCAAAACGCCCTCAGATTGGACTTCGAAATATGCAACTTTTTCCCCATTTAACCAACTTTGTGTTACCAACGGTTTACGAGATAGCAATACATTTTAATGAAAAAGTGGCCACCCTGTATAGATCTAAGAATTAATTCAATATTTCAGACATTTCAGCCTTTAAATTTTACAATTGTGTAAAATTAGGTTAAAGTAGTCACATTACCATGTAATTTTAAATGATAAAAGTGTTTTTATAATAACCTCGTAAAATGCAAAGATAGGGTGGATTTACAATGGTCTTGTATCATTTCAAAGTGACTAAAATTTCGCAATGGGGCATGTTCAAAAATTTTGAAATTTTTTTTATGAATAATAGAGTTGAAAATAAAATTACATTTTTTTTATTTATTTTTTTATCTATTCATTTGCCGGAGTTATGAATTTTTTTAAAATTTATGACGTCACCGGGAATAGACCAATAGGAGCTAGCGCACAACGTTGCCGGCTAGAAGGTTTACGAGAAGTGATGTACGTTCGTTTGTGTACTCCTTCTTACTTTTAGACTTCTAAAACATCGTTAAACAAATATCTTTTAAATATATAATATCAAATGTTTTTTTAAAGTATTATTTCTGTTTAAACTTTTACCATATTTAAGGTTTCATTGTTTTAAAAGTCACTTAATAATTCAGAAAATGGCAAAATGGCAGCACTGTGTATGGCATCTGTCATCATAGTGTCTCCATCAAGAATTTATTTGGAATTTGATCACAATTTGATTGTTTAATTTTGTACTTTTTATAAATATTATGACTACGAAAAAGTGTTTTGTTCCAGAATGTGATAATGAATCACATTCATCTTCAAAAATATTTATTAGTGTTCCTAAAAATTTGGAAAGAAGAAAATCAACCTTCTACTAGCGATGTTTCTCGTGAACTTTTTAATAAAAATACACCGGATTATCAAGATGTAGCAGCAATTTCTGCTAATTGTTCCCTTCAGGAAATTGAAAATAAGGATACTATAAATTCTTAGGTGTATAACCTAAAAACCCTTCTGGAAGAAAATGCAGAATCTCCTGAAAGTTTTGAAGATACCGAATTTATTCATCATTTTGTGGAAGAACTAGTGATAAAGAAATAATGGAAAAATGTGGGTATTTAAACAAACTGGTTCCTGGATCCCATATAATGGCAGATAGGGGTTTCAGAATAATCAGCTACTTGAAAACATGGGATACACTTTAGTAAAGCCACACCTAGTGTATCACAGAATGAAAAAACTTCTCAAGAAGATGTACAATTAAGTAAAAGAATAGCATCTCTAAGAATACATGTGGAAAGAGTTATAAGAAGGGTTAGTTAATTTAACATGTTAAAACCACATTCGTGTGTGAATTTTAAGCAAGTACATTTACTTAGTAATATCTGCATAATTGCTTGTTAACTTACAAGAACCTATTTTGTAAGAGTAAATATTAATTTAATAAACTTTTTTGTTTTTTAATTTAATTTACCTAATTATCACATTTCAGGGATTATAATGAGTTTTTAAACAGCCAATGTAATTTTTGATAAAAATTTAACTTTTCGAGCAAATTGAAGAGGAATGAGTACCTGTATATGCATAGATTTGTTTGGGACTGAAACTACCAAAACAAAGGCACCTATTTACAGCAGTTTAAAATGAAACATTTTAACAAAAACGCCTATGTCACAGTGATAAATATTAAAAACCAAGTTCAGTTGAATGTGGTAGCAAAGTCTATATATTCCAATAAATCGGGTAACTACATGTGGTATCACTGGTGATAAATTTAAAAATATCACAGTTCTTGCCACCTTTTTCAAAAAACCAGAAAGTGTGCCTTCTTATGAAAATGACAACAGTGATAAATGTGAAAAAAAAATTTCATGTTGCTATTCGTTATTACGATAGTAAAACATGTTTGCAGTTCCATTTATTTTTTATGAAAATCTAAGTAAAAACAACCAATGTCAAAGGGTTTTAATTTTTTTTCTGTCAAACCAAATATATCACAAAATTAAAAATTGATCATAGGTCAAGCTAAAGTAATACCTTTATTAATAGTAGCTTTAAAAAAGGAGAAAGAATAATATTGACTTAAGTTATTATTATTAACATTGGTGATTTTTAATAAAAACTTCAATTATTGTTTACAAACAAAAATATAAAAATCTGAAAATTTTATTTATTAACCTTTTAATAAAAAATGAGAAAAATGAAGTAAAAAAACAATTTATTTACAAATAAAAAATATATACAAATCCTAAGAATATAAAAGTACTGATTTATTTTCCTGTAGTGGATGAAGAGGTTTCTTTAACAATCTAGCCAAGTGTACATCATTATCAATAACACTGAGTAGATGTTACAGATGGTTCCTCACTTCTTCTATGAAGCCACATGTTTACAACCTCCTGAAAAAAATAAAAGGGTTAGATATGCAGTTACAAAATAACTATATAACCAGCTACAAAATGCCTTATTTTATGTAACAAGACGAGCACTTTACTAGCTCTGAACGAATCCAGTAAAGAACCTCTGATTTTCAAAACTTAAAAAAAACAAGCTCACCACATTTTCACATTTTTGAAATATTATAGAGCTTTTCGAAAAAACTGCTATTTTTAAAAGTACCGTTTTTGTTTAAACAGCTATGTCTCATTTTAGGCTATTGAGTATTATAAAATAAAAAATTACGGGATGCTTTGTTAGCTTCAAACGAATCCAGCAGAGCACCCCAGTTTTTTTTTAAACCACACCACATTTTTTGGCTCCTACAATATTATAAAATATTCGAAATTTGACATTTTTAAAAAAAATTCGCAATTCCCTGACTTCAAAGTTTTTTTTCTGAAAACAAATATACTTACCACATTTTTAGGATTTTAAAACAGCCTAAACATGTGTCATAAGTAGTTGTTTTTATATATTAAAAAACTGAAGTGTCCTGCTGACTTTGTTCCAACAAAGCACCCTGTATTATTTAAAAATAGCAATTTTTTTAGTAAAGTTTTACAATATTTCAAGAGTCTAAAAATGGGGTGTGGTTTTTAGAAAAAAGCTTTAAAAAACCGAATTGCTCTGCTGGCTTCTTTCGAAGGTTAGCAAGAAGCACCATGTATTTTTTAAAAATATAATATTTCAAGTGCATAAATATATGGTGTTGCTGTTTTTACAGAAAAAACTTTATAAAACAGAGGTGCTTTGCTGACTTCGTTCGAAGCTATCAGAGCATTTTAAGTTTTGCATAAAACGAGGAGCATAAAATTTTTGAAAAGGGTATAAAAATAGCCTAAAAATATGGCATGTTTTAACTCAAAATTTCATAGGTGCTCTGCAGCATTCTTTGGTATCATAATTATTACTAGGTTCACTAACAAAATCTATTTCTAGATTATTTTAACACTTGCTGCGATTACAAAAAATGTCTCTTTATGTCAAAATTAGAAAAAAAATATTTATAAGAATAAAGGGCCTTATACACTGTTTATTATATGTGATATAAAAACAAAAAAGCATAATAAATATTACAAACCTTGAGATTCAACATATCCTAAGCATTGTGCACTAAAAAACAGCCACATCATAAGGTTTTTGCTGTACTTTATGTTTAGGTGTAATTTGTCTCATTCTCTCTTATGGAAAAAGTAAATATCTCCATATTCTTGCTTGGCAGATCTAAAAATAAAACTTGAGATAAATATGTTTTACTATAAAGTGTACTGCTTCATATAAACTGTAACTACCTACCATTAAAACAATTTATAAATAAAGTTTTACCTTTCTATCTTTTGGAAACTGAGTATTGTTAAAAAATGCAGTAATCATCTCGGTAATCATATTTTCGTTTACAATGGGAAAAATACTTGATTCAACTTTTATAAATACAGCTGATAAATTCATATTCTTCTTCCTTTATATATCCTATATCCCACAGGATAATTTACCCAGATAAATGCAGATTAATAATAAAATTAAACCAAAACAAAAAACTAAGGTTAGTTGTTAGGTGCTGTCAATTTTTAAATGTCACTTAGATGTGCGTTCACTTCGACATTCTGTATGTAGGTTTGTTCGTTGGCTTGGTTTTGTAAAACAAAAAAAACTTCGACACAAGCTGATTGGTCTATTCCAGATGACGTATAATTTCAAATTTTAAATTTCAATTGGGCTTAATTTAAAAACTTTTAGCTTTTTTAACGAACTGATTATTTAAAATAACTTGTATAGCGACTAACTATTACAATATAGTTTATAAAACAGCATATCTCACATGTGAACATGGCCCATTAGATATTTTCAATAAAGGTACATTCTTATCTTATAGTTTCAAAAACACACCGCCTTAAAACATATTTATTTTTTCTAAATACTCATATAATAACTATTCCAAATAATTATGTTGGTTTTTGTAAATGTTTAGGGGCGAATCCTTTAAAATTTTTCATTTCCTCGGTAGTAAGATCAGCGAATTTGTTGACTCCTAATGTGTAAGTTTCGTCGCCTTTGTTAAATCTTTCATTGTGCTCTTCGATTTTTTTTAAATTTTCTTGGAAAATTCCAAAACGATGGTCTTCTTCCTCTTGATTTGCATAATTTTTATTGTGGGCTACCTGAAAATAAAAAAAAATATATGTAATATTATTAGATTCTAAATTTTCTGTGTTTAATTCAGCTTTGGTTGGTATTCGGTAAGAAAATTTCACACAAAATTGGATTTGGTCAAATTACTGTCACCAGAATTTATATTACTTTGATATTATTGTGTTTTAAAGGTTTTTTTCTACACCCGTATTATAATAATGCACTTATATGCCCATAATCCGTTTCATAATGATACCCATTATGATACAGATTTTTCATTACGATACAGATTTTTAATCAATAGAAACCTACAATTTTTCAATCAAGCATGCTGTTTGACGTTTGTCCTAGGTTCCTATGTAATTATTTTAGTTGTCAAAACGTATTAAATTTTCGTAGGTAGCTAAACTTCGATAATTATAATATTAAAATGTCTGATATTAGCGATATAGAAGACTCCTCCACACATATCGGAGAAAGCAGAAAATACAGTACAAAATATTTTACCGCAAAAATCTAGGGAAATACCAATACCTGAAGTAATACCATTAATTACAATTTTGTAGAATTTTTTATAGAAATACGAGTAATTACTGTTATTGTGTTCAATACCAATATAAATATAATATTTATAAGTCTTGATTATTTATCGGGTGTAGAAAAAATAGCGTATGCAACTCTCATGTAATGGTTATTAAAACACTCGCATAAACCATACGAAACTCGCCTTTGGCTCGTTTCGTATCCCGGTTAATGCTCGTGTATTAATAACCATCATTACATGATCGTTGCATAATATACTATTCCTGTATTTATTATGGAGTGTACTTGTAAGTAAAACTGTGCTATTTTTAAACAAAAAGACGCTTTATGTTTGATTCAAAATCATATTTTTTAGTCTCCCACGTATATAATCGAAATTTTAATAGCAATTTATGAAACCAGTTGTTACGAAATGCTTTATTTTATGGTACAAGTTACATAAAACGGCATTTCGTAACATGTTACATACAATATTTTTCTAATTTTGACTAGACTATTTATAAAATTGTGTTTTGTTAAAAAAATACCGACATCTAGGCAACCAATATTACTACTATTTTATATTGTTAGTTCCATATGATTAACTTTACTCTTCTATTGACAAATAGAAAATAATATTAATTTATTCTCAACAACTTATTGTAGTCTATTTATATTGCTTGTTAGTTATTTAGATTTTAAAAAGTTATTTTCTCGTAAAAAGTGTTTTAAATATATTGTTTTGATTTAGAATGAAAAATGAGGACCATAACAACATTATTACTAGGTTGTAAATTTAACAAAATTCTATTTTTGAGTCAACCTGGCCTTCTTTGATATAAACTTTCAATAATAATGTATATTATTGATTTTATGACCAGGAAAGGTTTGTTTTTATTTGGTTTCTTTTCGCAAGTAGTGCCAATGCATTTTTTGAAACCAGTTTTATATTATTTAATATTATGCAACAGGTTGCGCCAAAAAATATGTAAAAAAATAATGTTTTGGTTTATTTTTATTTCTACCACCTTTATATACGTACGTTTTTAAGTGTATACATGGGACATTGAAATGAACAATATTTTTAAATAAATTTTTCTAAAAAACCCAAAAGTAAGATCAAAAATTAAATCAAAAGTATCTAAGTCTGGTAACCTCGGTATACACGCAAAAATTATAAAATAAGAAAACCAAATCCGGATCTGTGCTGTACTTTCCTGAATTAGTTGCGTCACCGTCGAGGACACCAGACTTAAATCCTTATGATTTTTTTAGGAGGTTTGAAAGTGTCGTTTATTTTGACTTGAATGTACAGTTTAAAAATAAGTATCAATTTATTAAAATGATTAAACTGATATTACGTTACTCTGTATAATTATAATATTGTTTATATTTTGCCGTTTCAATTCTATTAAAAATTTAGATTACATTTTTAAAAACACTTACTTTAAAATTTTTCCACTTATCTTGAACAGTATCAGACATTTTTGCGCTGCAATCAACTTGTTGTATGACTAAATTTCTACTAGATAACAATAACAAAATATAAAACGATTTTATCAAAATGCTAAAAATAAATCAGAGAGACGTGGTGGAAGCGGAATTTAATAATGTAAATACAATTGATTTTTAGAAATACACTAGCATGATCCTAAATTTTAGTAAGTTATACATTGAGTGGTAACACAGTTAACTTACATAGGCGCCATTCAATAATATTTCTAAGGGGATGTATGAATGTCAACGTTTTTTTTATTTTATCATTTAGACATCTAAAATACTAATCATATGAAAATCAGGGCATTAAATAAATCATAAGTCTTCTATCATCTATCTAAAAGTTGCTGAAATCCATCAAATAATTGATCCTAATTCCACTCCTAATAACTTCTACCCCATCACCATTTAACAATGCCATAGAATATTTGATATCATCTTTAATGTCCTAAATAACAAAGAATAAAGTATCTCCCTATTTTTAAATATATTCCAAGCAAGTTGATTGTAAATGACATACGGTATACAGTAATATTAAAAAATCAAAAAATATCTTCATAACTTTTTTATTACACCAACATCTTCAAAACAGACATTATAGAATAAGTGGTAGAAGACCAAATAGGTTGGACAAAAAAGAGATCTTTAATATTCTGAAAATGTATGCCATAATGTAATGTACTGGGACCACTATTTTACATATCTTTCGCATAATATATATTCTTCTAACGTCACCAAAGATAACTCTAGGTAGATCTGCTGATGATTCCGTTGCACTGATGAACTACAATGATGTCATACAAATTCACTCCATCCTCCAAGACTAGGCACCTTATTAGACTTGAGTCACGTTTTAACGAATTAATATTTAAATTTAAAATAAAGATAACGGATTTTCATGTAACATTTAGGCCTACCAGAGGCTACATCAGTAAAATATATAGGAATGCGTTTAGATAAAAATTTGAACCAGGATCACATGCCAATAGGAGCAGAAAATAAATGGAAATAAAATAGGATAAATTTACGCAAGGTTAGTACTAGAATGTCATGAAGCTTTGGCGGAAGTATCCATCAACAATATGGCCACCTTAAAATGGTTTAAAGGTTAGGCTACATCGAAAAGTAACCGTCTTGCTTATTCACTAGCCAAGAAAGTAGCCAACCAAATACTTTTTGGACCTGGCTCTTCGGTTGGCCTCACAAAATCGGTAGTGACAGACCTAATTAAAGAACATTCCCTTGTGAAATTCAAGGAAAAATTGAATGAGACAAGAAAAGTTATCCTGACAATATTGCTGCAAACAAGTACAGAAGCATCTCCATATCATGGAACTGTCAGAATTCGTAATCTGCGGAGGATGCGAACAAGAAGATAAGACCATCGAGCATATCCTTTACGATTTGCTCATTTATTAAAAGATTTGTGTTCGGCGAGTATCGGCTAACACCAGCCAATATAAGAGAAGCACCTCTTGGCAACGTTGTCAACTACAATAAATCTGTAGATTGACTCAAGAGCTAGGACGTGCCGTGGGGGTGACCCACCCTCCACACGTTACAGATACAGATACTGGTTAATTTAGCAACGTCTCCACAGCAACGCAGACATTCTTTTTAGACGAAACTGTTTAGATTTTTAAGAAATAGAGGAGCCGGTTTAGGAAATTAATTTTCAGGCAACCACTATTAAGTCGGAGGAGGACGAAGACGGAATCACTCTTGAAAGCCTGAGAAAGGATCAACAGAAAAACAATCACTTGGCTTAAACCTGAAGTCAGACCTTTTGACAAGAGATAGTCAGATATAGTGGAAATATTAATAGGTTCTAGACTCTAGATTCCTTATATCTTCACGATGGCCTATTGCACCAGAAGTGGGAGTTCGGGAAATATTTTATTTGTTTAATTACCAACGGGATGTAGAAGATTTGTGAATGAAATGTGATTTATGCAATGGTAGAAAAGGACCGGGAAGCCATTCGAACGAATCACCATAGATATCTTCGGACCACTTCCCTTAACAGAGAGAGAGAGGAAACATATAATTGATGGTTGTTATGGATTATTTTTCAAAGTGACTCGAATAGCACTTATTCCTAATCAGAAAGAGGCGATAGTAGTAAAAGCATTCATGACGAACATCATAACGAGATATGAAGTTGCTCTGGAATTGCATTCTTTGTGTTTTGTAAGAAATTACACAGAATAATTTAGGAACATCAACGGTAGAAAATATTATCCGACAGAGAAGCATCAAACACTAAAAATTTAAACTACTCACATATCTACTGGTATTTAAGAAGACGTCAGAGTAAAAACAAGAGATGTCATCGCTCCAAAATCACCATACCAATAAATTTAAGAGCTCGAGTTTTATCTTCCAAATTTCTCTGACTTTTATATAAAGTTATTTTTAAAATAAATATTTTCTGTTTTGGACGAAGAATAATTCTTAGTTTTTAAATAGTAATTGACCAAAATAAAGCAATATATGTACATTGCTGTCTGCATAACTGTACTGACTCTAAAAAAAATATTTCCATGGATTTCAGTGAACGTATATGGGGCTCAGCAGACTGTGAGTTTCGCGTTGCGCAATGTTCTAACAAACCGTAGCTTTAAAAGATTTTTATTCCCAATTTTTACCAATCTAGGCATGAAGGAACTGCCCTACCTTCTGTTTGCAATTTACAGATTACAGACTGCATAAAGGTTTATCATCTATAACCCATAAGAAATTTGCATGGGCGTGACTACTGCGAGCTATATGAAGAATTAGAAAACAATTAAATAATGAGAATGTCTTCACATGAAATGCTCCCAATAACATATAAGTAAGTTTACCTGGAAGGTAATGGAGTACTTCCTTATCACGCATATATCACCTGGTATATAGATGGCTCCAAAACCAATGGAAAAAGAAGACTAGGTGCATGTAGGGTCTCACTGAGTCTAGGTAAACACAAAATAGGTACTAAGAGTACTAAGACATAAGGTAAATGAAAAATCCACTGTCATAAACGCAGTCAAGCAACATTAAAGTACTTATTACAATGCCATCAAAAATTATGTCGTACTATTTGAAAGCCCCTAACATAACTGGTTAGTAAAAGCAGACTAATCTTAGTCTGGGTACCAGAGGACATACACAGAAGATATAAGGGGAATCAAGAGGCTAACTTATTGGCCCAAGAAGTCTACTTTTGATCTAGTAACCTTCTGTGGTGTCTTAAAGAAAGTCATCAGAACATGTATGAAGCAGTTGATGATAGCATAATTCATCAGGACAGAGAGAGACTAGTATAGTTCTTAAAAGAACTATTGTCAAAGCTCACTGTGCTATGATGGAATAAGAAAAATGCTACCACATTAGGTCTATTCATAGATATTGTAGGCTCAATATTGGCCTGGCAGAAAGAAGTAATAATTTTGCTAGCAAAAAAGTGGAAATTGTAGTACCTACACGTAGTGGGCTACTTCGAAGTCTATTAATGGTGAAATTTATTACTCTTTGAGAAGATAAACCAAGGGAATTAGCTACAAGTGAGCTACTATCAAAGACCCAAACTAAACAAAGTACTCTAACCAATAATCTAATAATAGATCTGAAAAGTTCGAGGTGGAGGAGACTTCATGACCAACAGTCCTAACCAAATCTAGTCAAATTGTACACCTGTCGATTCTTGACATGCATATAACTGTAGATCTGGCTAGTTATATAGCTTTATAAATTTAGGTAAGAAGAACTATGTTCTTGCTCTTAACATAAATCCAAATTTCTTTCCAATAGTAATAAGAATTCACCTTTAGGGACTGAGTTTTCTGTTATAAGAAGCATTTTTAAATTTTTTTTTACTCTGAGCTTACCCATTTAACAGAATGTACGCCGCTGGATAGGTATCACAATACACACACCGTCTGCAAATATAATTATTTATTTTATTTTTATTTAGAATGCTGTCGCTAACGAAAGGGTAAACATATCTCGCTTTAAATAAATAAAAGTCTGATTGATGGAGTTTATCAATTAAACAACCAATGATTAAAAGTCGATTGACATTGATAATAGAAATCGCGATAAACGTGTTGTATTTATTGAGTTTTGTTTATTTTTCTTGTCCAGCAATGTCCGAATACCTATATTTTTAAGAAACCAATGTTTACTAGGTAGATGTTTATTGTTTTAATTGGAATTTGGAATGTTAATGCTTAATGTTGTTTGGATTAGGTAGGACTCACGGGTAAAATATACAATTTCCCTAATATAAATAAAAATAATAATAAAAAAAAGAAAAACTCACAAGGTGTGTTTTAGAAACGACGAGCTATAGCTTTCCATACTCCTTTACCTTTTTTCATTTTTCTCTTAAATTTGATGTCTCTTTTCTTTAATTAATATATTTCTTATTTTCATCTTTAATTTTCTTATGTTACTTTTTACCAATTTTATTCATATTTACTTCTTTTTCCACCCTGTGATTCCTTTTAATTTCAATTTTTTTTCAATTCTGGTTTTATCATTTTTTATTCTTTTATGTTTTAATTTTTTCTTCATTTGTTTCTAACTTCTATGAATTTCTATCTATCTTCCTACTCTTTCTCTTGCTAATTATCTCATCTATTAGTTTTTCTACTTCTTTAACCAAGTTCCTACTTTCTTTATTCCTATCCCCTTATCAACAACCATCTTCTTTCTCAGCTGCTTTATCATCTTCTCCATCATTTTCTTCATTCTATCATACTATTCTCCTTTCTCTCCAATTTGTGTTTCTATATCAATAATTTAAACAAAAACAGAACTTACCAAATTCTACTGTTGAATAAATTACTGCCAAACGTTGGGCGCCAGCTGATATGGTATTCAATACCCTCAAGTTGTCCGTCTCTACTAGGGTTGGGTTTAACTTCTGAAAGTGTTAAAAAAAGTAAATTTTAATTTAGTATTTATTAAAATATAAAAATATAAAATCTTCCTTGTCCTTCTCTGCTTGTTTTACGTCTTTTTTTGAATCTTCTTTAATCTCGTCACCCTATCTTTTTAATTCTTGCTTGCCTTTCTTTACAAATACTTGCTGTCTTTTCTTCTCTTACTGCATCTCTTTCTAAACTCTGCTCTCTGCTCACCT